CATCTCTGGAGTTGTGAATGGTTGGTCAAACAAAATGAACCTGTTTTGCCTTTCGAATTAGTGGCCAGATGCGTTGATTACTTGGCTCAAAGGAATGTCTAATGTGAATGAGCTTCTTAATCAAGACAAGTCCTGTGTCTTAGCATGTCTTTGAATTCATTATATATCATCGTCTACGTAAATTGCCATAAGTAGTTCTCCTGGGAAAGCTGTGTCCCCGTTGAATAACGTAACACTTTTCAATAGTATGGGAACACTTCTGACCCAAGTTGTTAAAATGAGTATGTTGAATTGCGAAATAAAATAACAATAAAAGCTAAGTGAAAGCAGGGTGACTTACGCAGGTCTCGCGTAGCTGGAGGACCCACTCTTTTAGTGCGGAGTCTTGTGGAATCATCTTATCTTCGGCCTATCAGAAGCCTTCATATTCTCTAAGAGTATGGCCGAAGTACCCATCAGTCTTCAGAAAATAAAGCCTATGATATCTGCAGATCTTGGCTTTAGATCTAAGTTGCAAGAATGTAATATTCTTGATATTTTATCTCTGGGCTTAATTTCTTATCCTCAAATTCTTTTCACCCTAAATCCGACTTCAAGAGTTTTTTTTCTCGAACCTCCGTACTTCCACGGGTTTACGTAAAAGAATCAGCCAGTGGGGACATCGCAAACATCGCGCCTTTTAGCAAGAATAGAAGGGCGAGGAATACGAGGAGGCTTGCTTGGCAATTTATCGGAGATAGAAACAGTCGAAGCCTCGAAGGAGTAGACTTCCTGGTTAGGAATATGGATCTGATAAGATCTAGCTGAGTGGTGAAAGACGCATCAGCCCTGTCTTGGCATTCGGTCCTACGAAGTAGGAGCTTGTAAAGATAGATATAACCTCCTACATCCCACCGCAACTATAAAGTCGCGATTCATCCCTACATCATGGCAGACCAACACACCATCTACTTACACTTCAACGATCCTTGAGACCCCAAAACCCTGACTCTCATCCAACATGCAGTTCAAGGTTGATAACATCCCTTCCCTCCGATGTCCGATAACCCAGTCTGACCATGCCAGATCCTTGCGCTTTCCGCTTTTATGGCCACTGCTGCTGCCACAATTGACGTCGCCTTCAGCGGCTACTACTACGCCGACTGCGTCTCCCCCAGCATTGAGGCCGCCAACGTCATCTCTGGTGCCTGTGGGCCTGCTAACGGCCTCCCTCTCAAATCTTTCTCCGCGCACATCTACTCCGGCTCCTGCGATGCTGGCACATCGCCTATCTTGAAGATGTACACCTCCACGGGCTGCACCGATGAGTCATTGTACGGCGAATACAACATCACCAGCGATACTCAATGCTTCGCGGTGGATGCAACGTTCCTGAGCAATGAGGTTGTTTGTGAGTAATGGAATAATAGTGAGCAACATGCTCTCTTAAATCTATTTACTTTTCCAATCGAAGTACGAAATTGAAAGTTCTATGCACCCTCTCCACGACGGGGATATTTGCCAATTCCATTGCGCCTGTAAAGGACGACGTGGTACTGTCTACGTAACGTTGATATGGAATTATTTTATTGGCTCGAGTAGGAGACCGGTAGGCCGTAGCTCTATGAAGGGGTGCAAACCATCTACCATACGGAACGGGAAGAAGTAGCTTGTCAATAAAGGTCAAATGAGGTGATTGATTACTAGGCAGTTATGAAGGCATGAATGTCTGGTTCACGCAAAATCAATGGGATCGGGTGAGCATTCCATGGCAGCGAGTTCATGACTATTATCCATTGAGTTCAGCACGGGGCATAAGCAGAAGTGATACCATGGGAAATATTGGGCGTAAAGAACATACTAAAAGCCTATGAAATCGTAATTCATAATACCGAGTCTGTAATACTGGATGTCATGCTGTCTTTAAAGCGTTTAGCAAAATCTTGAATGTTGAATAGCAGCAATATATTCCACATACAAGTTTACTATGACGTAATCAATGGGGCAATGGCGCATCTGGGAGCGCGTCAGACTGAAGATCTGGAGGTGGCCGGTTCAAGCCCGGCTTGCCCCATTCCCTTTTTTGAAAATTTTTTCGACTTTAAATCTTGCTTTCCTAGTATTGCTCTAAATTATTTCTGATTAGATCTTCGTAAGGCGTCAAACTCAATTGTACACAGAAGACTCAGCTAGCAGCTATATAGGCATAGAAACATGTTGATGAGCCAAACTTTCCGATGGCCCGGAGTCGTGTTGCTACAAACTGCCTCATGGTCTGAAAATATATTCAAGCAGAAACTCGTACAGCCCACACCTTTATCGCATAAGTTATTATATGGCGTTCTTTCAGCGTCTTGCAATGCCTCCGTCTTCCCCGTTACGTAGAATACTCTCATGTGGTGACTTGAGCCTGGACATGCTAATGTCTTATTGTTTGTATCAGTAGAAAGCTCCCAGATGATAGAAGAGATGGGTGGAGCTGGAACGGATTCTCGGGGCCGCAATACATACACTATGTAGGTTACATACTTTCCACACTTGTAATAGTGTGGCTTACGGAAATAGTACATGCTGAGGATACGTCGAAATGCAATGTCACCCATCAGAATGTGGGCTTGATGAAGCAAATGGAACCAATGTCCTTCCTGTTGTCCCTTTTGAGCCGAGTTGGGCCGAAGTCGAACTGTAATGCGAAATTACAAATCGATCGTCGGACGAGATCCAGTTGAGCCCCTGTCACTTTGCCGTTTTGGGACATTCGTCGGCCGAATGCTGAGTCATGCATAGCTGACTCAGCCATAGTTTGTCAGCCCTGCAGTGCCAACCCAGGTAAACAAGGGAGAGCGTGACATGTAATTGGTGATTCTGCCAGCGATATTAACAATCTTCAGTCCCAGCTGGGTCTCCTTTCGGGGGCAGCTGTGATATCCTTTTGTCTATTTAAAATCTATCTTTTTGGTGGGTTCCTCTTCTTCCAATTGTTCTCGTGTGATCTCGCTTTCGGCTTTACCATATACTCTTTGCTCGTTGCATCCAATTATTATCTTGTATCATTCCTAGGGCTACTACCGGCCATCACTACAACCACGATGGTCAAGTTCTTTCAGCCACAGCCAAAGATCGATCCCTTGCCTACAGGAATTGACCTTACTGGCAAGACCGCGGTTATCACTGGTGCCAGTGCAGGTCTGGGTCTTGAAGTCACCAAGCAGCTTTTGCGCTTGCGCCTCTCCACCGCCATCCTCGCCGTGCGCAATGTCTCCAAAGGCGAGGCCTGCATTGAATCGTTGCTGCAGGACCGCGGCATTCAAACCGACAACCCCAAGCCCACAATCAAGGTTATGGAGCTTGACATGGATCGCTATGATAGCGTGCAGCAATTCGCTAAAACTCTCCGCGAAGAGGTTCCGGTGGTTGATATCCTCATCCTTAATGCGGGAGTTGCTTCTTTAAACTTCGAACGTAGCCCAAGTGGCCACGAGAGGGTGACGCAGGTGAACTACTGCTCTAACGTGCTGCTGGTTGCCGAGCTTCTTCCTCACCTGGAAGCCGGTGCGGAGCAGACCGGCTCCTCTGCCCGGATCAGCTGGGTAGGCAGTCGCTCGCACGAGTCACCCAGTTTCGAGAAAAAGGCCCCCATTGAAGCCGACGAGGGGGTTTTGGAGCATATAGACAAGAAAGAAGCCTTTGCTCCTTTTCAACGGTATAGTGACACTAAGTTACTCTGTGTGCTGTTCATGTACAGCTTGGCTCCGCGCCTGGACCCCAAAAAGGTCATCATTAATATGATGTGTCCGGGTATGGTAAACACTGGGATGAGTAACATGCTTCCACTGCACCTGCGCTTGATTATCAACGTCATCAAGGCTATTCGCGCCCGACCCGTTGAGGTAGGGGGTTGGGTTATCCTGAACGCTGCGCTCGTAGCAGGCCCAGAGTCCCATGGGAAGTTTCTGGCGGATAAGGTCATCACCGAGTAAGTCCTGCTTCTGCTTAGTCTACCATAGGCTCCACCACCTGATTTTAATTCTCTTTCAGTAAACCTGCAATCGTTACCTCTCCAATGGGTCAGGAGATTCAAACCAAGCTTTGGGAAGAAACAGTCACCGAACTGAGCAAGTTGACCACTCTTCCTCCCCAGTTTCACTAGACTGAACTGGTTAACATTCCACGACGTCGCACCATGTTGCTGCTGCTTGTTGGAAACCCTTTTGATACCACTTTGCCTCCTTGGAGCCTCTTCTTGTTTCTTTCTTCCCCACGACAGTTGCCGTGGTTTTTGTATCTTCCCGTGTCTCTGCTATTCGCCGACCAGTACGAGTGGCACTGTAATGTTCATTCTCGCGGCGGAACATTGTCTATCCTTGTGACACGCGCAGCAAATCTTCTCTTTGAAGCTAGATCAAATAACGTAACCCAGAAACTTTACAAGTAAGCAAGAAGCTTCTATTTTGATATGATGTTGTGGCAATGAATGGAACATGCAGTCACTGGTGAAGGAGAGACGGGTTTGCGAAGAGAGGACATGTCTTATACGGCGGTGATTTTCCCTGTGCATCGATGGCTACTATCAACAAATACCTGCGGATGATGGATGTGATCTCGACTAATGACGGGGAGGTGCCAAAGGCCATTGCAGGAGGTTTGGCCCTGAAACCTTTTCCGCGATTTCGAATGCCCACTGACTTCTGACGTGTCGCAAAGAATAAGATTGATGTCTTTTTTCTGGTCTGCTTATTGCTTTCCGTTGGTTTGTCCAGTCTCTAGTCTGTACTACTGTTCTGTCTTTGTAAAGTAATTACTTAACAGCTAAGCGTAATCTCTGTATGTAAAGAATTGAATTGCTTTTTCTAATGGTCTATCTATTGTATTTTACTTTTTTTGGGGCTGATCGAACGGGCTGCTAATAGGCACAGATAATTGCCCCCCGCCCACCCATTTTTATCCCTGTCATTTCACCTCAGCGGTGATGAGCAGACACCCAAAATTGTTTAATCAATCCTTAGTGATTCTTCAGCAGAATGGCGCTTGTTCAACTGACTGCATTAGCCACATGTGCGCTTTTGCTGGTAGTTCTCCGCGCCACCTTCATTAGTTGGAGACTACAGCGAAAGCTACTGACATATGTGGGAATCTTCTACCACCATTCTATAAACCCTGATAATAGCAATCATAATATACACACGTACAAGAGTGTAATGTGAGACAGGTGCCCCCGGTGCCCCGTTTACTGGGAACATTCTCCAATTGCCCAAAGTTCGTGCGCATCACAAGTATGTATCAACTATGAAAAAGGCAAAGCGGTATCTGACAGGAAACAAATTTACAGAATGAGCCAAATAATATGGCGACCTCTACAGCTTCCGTATTGGTCCAGCGACAACCGCAGTGCTTACGGTTACGGATCGTGCTCTGGCCAAGAAGCTATTCGACAAATGGAGCGCGTCGTACAGTTCACGTCCAACCTCACAAGTTGGACAGAACATCATCACCGGTGGTGACCATCTCCTAGTCATGCACTATAGCGATAATTGGTGTCTATTTCGCAAAACCATAAACCAGCATTTCTCGGCTTCCATATGCGAAAAGAAACATTTCCGCCTGCTGGAGGCTGAGCATACACAGATGATGCGCGATTTCCTCCTGCATCCCGAGAAGTATATGTTGCATACGAGGCGCACAACTAATAGCATTATAATGAGTTTGCTTTTTGGTATTTGTACTCTGTCTTGGGACACACCACATATGCAAGACCTATATGAGATAATGGAGCTCTGGTCTCAAATCATGGAGACAGGTACTACCCCACCAGTGGATATATTTCCTTGGCTGCATTGGGTGCCATAGCAGTGGCTCGGCCACTGGGTTGATCGCTCACAGGCTGTGGCACGTGGTATGAAGCGGCTGTATAGTTCGTTCCACCGACGGGCCATCGAGGCGCGTCGTAGAGCAGAGAGCGCCTCCCAGTATCGAGCCCGCAGCTTCCTCGACGACGTCCTTGATCTGAAGGAGAAGCTTGGTCTTACGGATAACCAGGTCGACTTCTTGGGTGGTGTTATGATGGAGGGAGGCTCGGATACCAGTTCCACAATGCTTCTGGTCATGATCCAAGTGTTGGTGCTCTATCCCGAGATTCAAACGCGAGCATAAGCTGAACTCGATGCAGTCTGTGGAGAACACTGATCCTCAACCTGGGAGGACTTTTCTCGTCTGCCTTACATTAACGTGGTTGTCAAAGAAATAATGCGCTGGCGACCCGTCACATCCTTGGTCTTTCCACACGCCCTCAGCAAGGATGACTGGGTGAATGACTACTTCCTCCTAAAGAGAATCACCGTCTTTCTGAACGTCTGGGGCCTACATCATGACGAAAACGGTTTTCCAAATCCTGATGAGATTGATCCTTCGCGGTTTTAGGGCCGGCATAAGCTGGCATTTGATTATGCCGCTTCCTCCGAGTACATGCAATGTTATTATTATATCTACGGTGCCGGGCGACGTCTGTATCCAGGGATCCATCTGTTTGGATGTAGCATGTTCCTTGGTGCTGCAAAGCTTCTTTGGGCATTCAATTTTGAACTGGCGCGGGATGAAAAGGGCAGTCTTATCCCCATCGACACCGACCCGACCACCAGCTATACTGAAGATTTCCTGGTCTGCCCGCGACCGTACAAATGCAATGTTGCGCACGATCTTCAGCTCATGCGGATACAATTCTCCGAGAATTTGCTCGAGCCGAACCCGTAGTTCTTTCTTAATATGCGACTCCATAGGAGCTCCACACTCGTGCTAGCATCCACTGAAATAGCTTCTATGAGCCTGTTCGTATTAATCTGAGGTTCCGGCTGCTTTTTCTTTCTCGGTGCAGTTTTGCAGCTGTAGGAGTTGCCTGGCTGACGCTTGAAGGAACGGGTGACATGGTAAAGGAAAGAAGGTCTTATCCGACGTGAGGCGTAACGTAACCAGCTACTCAAGTGACTAATCTAGAGGACCTCGTCAGGATATTCCGTCCCGGTAGCTGTGTAGAAGCTCATTTCTCTGTCTTGCTTTAAGCAAACGTCGGTTAGTCCATTCATGCAATGGGTTGAAGGTTCGTTGGGTTGATTTGCAGTAACTGACCCTGGCACGTGCAGGGAGTCAATAGCGTTGTTTCTTCTGTAACTATCAAGGCTCGGACCTTCGGGTTAAAATCATTTCTGTCGAATATATGACGAATGCGAAGTAGCTAGATCTTTCCGCGCCGTGTCAGCATAGCATTCTTTAAAGCGACCACTGCTAGTATATGTACCCTATCTACACATACTTCCAGACATCATTGCAGTTCACAAGGTCCCATTGCTTAATCGCCATATGGCTGGGATAATAGTACACCGTTTACTCGATGCTTTGAATTTCTCACTTTCATTGGTGTGGTAGCCTCGGCTTCACCGTTGTAGCACAAGGGAAAAGAGAGATCAAGGACATATACATTGAGTCTAGGGTATTTGTAAGGTGATTGATATGGTATTACCAGTCATCTAAGCAGTATCCCCTTTGTCTAAAGATGACGAACGCGAGATACTTCCATTTCTATCACAAGTTAACAGTGTGGAGCGACTGTGTTCAGATGTGCTCGGGTATCATTTGGCTCTAGCCAACGAGAATGACCAAGACTCGAAATCAGTGAGACTGGCAAGAACATCCTGATCCAGGCCACTGTCGTATATTGCGGCAGATACGTGACTCGTCGGTCCAGGTCTGGTGCCCGAAGGCGTTTGGGGTGCGGTAGCCGTAGACGGGGCATCTTGATTGCGGTGGTTATGGATTGTGGATGACGAAGACGATGAATCCGGCAAAGGAAAGATGCTCTCGTTCACTGTGTCCTTCTCAGTACTCCGACTTCCAAGTTCAAGGGTGTATGGGAAAAGCGAACATTTGTTTTCGTCCAGCTTGTGAGTGATTCGGTTAGCGGATTTCATTTGTGTATCCACACGACTCTTAAGGTCAACGAGAACCTGTATAGCGAGCGGAATTCGCGCCTCTGATGAACCCTCATCACATTCCGGATTGTCCGCACGAGATTCTCCCGGCGACTCTCGCGGAACTTGGTAGTATGAAACAGTGTGGTCGATAATTTCTTCGATGCAATATCGAGCCAGCACATTATCTTCTGATTCCGGAAAGCGATGTAGGTAGACGAGAATAAGAAACGCACACTGAAGAGGGCCATGATATTGATAGCAAAACCTTACGTAAGGGGAGAAAGCAGGGGTTTGATAGAGCTGCAGGAACATACGCAAGTAGCTCACGCAGAGGTGTGCTACACTGGAGATACAGTGCTTGTCAATAGAGATATCGGACCAGATCGTGATGATATCAAGGATTCATACCTGGTCCATGCCCTGCATGATTCCGGATCCGCACTGTCCGGGGCAGGTAAGAACGGCTTTTGTAGAAGTATAGCTACCTCCAATTTGAGCAAAATCAACATTATTCTTGTCCAAGCCGCGAAAACAGTAGGATGAGTGCCATCATCCTTATAAAGTGCTGGGTGTGTGATCGGAGATGCTTTGGCTAGTCGGGAGGGAATGAATCCCTGTTCAGGAATACCTTGTGAAGGAACACGGGCAATCAGTTTATCGATCTTCTGTTGAAGCTTTTTCGCCAATGTCACAAGTTCAGTAAGTTCAGTATGAGCCAGGTGTCGTCCAGTTTGCAGGCGCGAAACGATCTTTGACTGCACACGCGCTGTTTCAGCGCGCGCTATGGCGAGTATTACGGCAATGGACTGTTCCGATGGACCAGGAACTAGATCCGGGGAAAAGTGACCAGACAAGTCACTAATATCATCATCGCGTGTATCAGCTATCATGCTGACAATGTCCAGCGTCTCGGGAGCGCAACAAGGGGGTAGGCCTGTGCATATGCTAGACTGGACGTCAAGCCCAATAATATACCACCAGGCCCGACGACGGATTTCCCGATCAACCGGGCTCAATGAAGATGACCAAGTTCCTTCCCGATGCAATCCCAAGCTCTGGGCAATGCGGATTGTTGTGCTGATAGAGACCATATTGCGCATTGGCCCAACATGTCGGTCCAAGAATGTTGCAGTCAGCAGCGTAGACACTAGCGTGTTCATTGTCGGATGTTCGAGGTGTTGGCATAGAGACATACTTGTCCTACAGGCCGACTTCAAGTGGGCTATCGTCGTTTCCTTCCGCAGACTCTGTAGACCGCCGCATGTCCAGCTGGCCGGTGGTGCAGCGCACGCGCCAGTATACAGGATGGCAAAGAGAAGGCAGAGAAAGGTTGGGTCATCGCGGACCTTTTCTGGGGGAAGCGCCCTATCGCTATTGCGGCACCAATCCCAGAACCTGTCGTAGTCCGCCCGTAGGGTTGGGCTATGCACCAGAGGGGAAAGAGGCCACACCGCGAAGAAGAATGCATCAAGGAAGGTATCGCTCACGGGCTTCGTAGGTAGGGACCGTAATAGATTGAACATCCCCAAGGAGGATATATGTCTGAGGGGCCGTTCTGGTGAAGCGTCACGGTTGCAGTCAAAGAAATCATCACTCATAGATTCCTGCCGGTAGGCCAACAATCAAGGTCAGTTCATGCCTGGCCGCCGGGTTTCTACTTACATCGCTGGGCAGTACTGACTTTCCCGGCCACAAATCCCCAAAATGCTTGACCAATGTACCGCACACGTGCGCCCCGTCGTACACTCAGATAGTCAGAACTGATAAGATAGTGGTGATTGATAGAGGCACCGGTCGCAGTAGTGGATGCTGAGACCGCAGTGGCGGCATCCTGGGAGGCACTTGGCGTCCTGCTTCTTCCTGCCCTAGTGGAGGCTTTATGGTTCTCGGGCAGCTGGATGGCGTCGTCCCAGGAAGGCACTGTCGGATATTGCAAATCAACATGCTGTTGGCGTGATGATGGTGCCGGGGTGAGTATGGAGGAAGAAAGGTGTTGATGAGGAACAGAGCTAGCATCGCATCTAGCTTTAGTAGGATGTATCTGAGGAGGAGGAGCAATGAGAGAAACGTTGCCGCGCGGAAGGGGAGCCTCATCACCGAGATCTATCATATTTTCAGAGTGTTGTGTCATCCAGTGTGACCAGGTAAAACTTCCTGTTTGCTCCTCGGAATGATTGGCAGAGGATTCCTCTCCATTAGATTTATCCCCCTGGGGCACAGGAGGAGACACTTGGCGTACACGGCCAGTACACGTATCGCGGACCAGATTCTCGTAGACACAATTCTCCTTCATCCGGACACAGTTGGCGCATTGCGGATGTTCGCGGCCGCAGCGAACTTTGCGACGACGGCAGACAATGCAACTCAATGATAATCGGGGCCTTTTGATCTGGCGGGGCTTAGGTGGTGGCATGGTAGTGAAAGTCGTACCAATACAAGTAGTTGGGGTGTAATAATGGTGTCCAATAAGTGTGGCGAGATATAAAGTACCTACTATTACTATAGAGAAAGGGACTACCAGCGCGAAGCAGCAGATAGTAGTGATTATGGCAGTACGGACCGAACAATTACTGCCACAGTCACTACTATACACTGGGATGATATAGCAAGCGTCGGGTTTCTGTAGTCGATGGATAATAGCAAGGTTCGTTCTACAGCCAGCCCCACCCGCCTTGTGGCAAGTCAGAAATCGTTGCCTTGTCCAAGTGCCAATGTGACAGGCATTGAGACAGCAGTGCGGTAAAAGTAAACTGCAGCGAGCGGCATAGGTCGACCTGATGATGTACTGCACGTCGTTGATTTAGACCCCGGCGTTCGCTGCTAGATTAGCCAGAGGTCTTGGTTCCGAGGGCCCAGTCTGTCGCGTCCCAAGGGGTAAGCAGCGGGATCGGATAAACTCAACCAATTTGCAGTGCGGCGAGCGAGTTTGTCCGAAGCCTGGCAGTTGGATGCCCTCGGAGTTCCCGCCAATGACCTGTCTTCCTTTTCTTTTTCTCCCCAGCTCCAATCCCGCCCGTACTAAAGCTTGACATGGGAGCACGGCAAACTGTATGTATGCCACCCATTCCCTGATGATCTCTGTATTAGCATTCATCATTCAGCGATCCCGCCCAGCCCGAGCTAGTATGTGGATCCCTTCTCATAATACGGAGCGCATAATTGCATTTCAGGGCTGAATCCCCCGTATGGCGAGGCATTTTGCTGTTCAGCCTACTACTCACAGCTGAATTAACTTTGACAGTGGCTTCCACCGGTCGGGTACCCTTCCGTGCTGTAGGCACCCGGCAGACGGCCAATTTCTTTCACTCTAAGATCGAATGAAGCAGCCACATAAAGAAGAGAGAAAGAACAAAACAAACAAAAAGGATAAACGAAAAAGGTTCATCCCTTTTCAATATATCTGATCAAGTGGAGTAAAACATGGTGATAATCTGAATACCTCTATATCATTTACAATATAAACTAGCCGGTGTTTTAGGGCCTTGGGAATACAAAGGTTAACCTGTCCGGATGGTAAGTGCATTTCGGGCTTCCATTGGATTGGTCGCGATTATCCGCCGTTTATGGCTGAAAATTTACAGGACTGCTCTCCCGAGAGCGCAGAGCTTTTAAGAAAGCAGACTGGGTTCGTGACTGGCCAGATTGATTTGTATACTTATGCTCCGAGGGAACTCCTGCTTCTACTCTTAGTTCAGGCCGGGTCCGTGCAATGCTGCTGTCTCTATAGGCACTCATTTGCATGTATTGCTTTCATACTCATATGGAAAATATAAGATATACCCCAAGCCAATGCAGGTGTTTATAGATAAAGGTGACAGAGGGGCTCAAGACATATAGACACT